TTTAAAACTTAGGTTTATTTATGTGTATATGTGTATATCTCTGTGTCATGTGTATGACACACCCGTTCAGGTGTCTGCAAACTTCAGAACAGAGTGTCAGATCTCATGGTGCTAAGTGACAGGTGGTTGGAGCTGCCTGGCATGGGAGCTGGATCTGAACTCAGGTCCTCTGGAAGAGCAGCAAAATGCTCTTAACCACTGAACCATCTACCTGCTTTGAAATTTTAGATTTTATGACAACTGGGCCAGGAACTATTTTTGGACAGTGAGGTCTAACATTCATTGACTTTTTTAAAAATAAGTATTTATAAGGTCATATCAAGCATGGTAATTCTACATAATTTTTCTTTCCAGAAATACTTTTAAACTTTATAAATTTCAGAAAATATTAAACATTTTTATAACTGGAAGAAAATAAAATATAAAATTTAAATTCTGTAATTAACAAAATTGTATGATCTTTCTTCACTATTAATGATGATATTAGGTCTTAAATGTAATTAAAATTGATAGAAATGGTTGGTTAGCATAAGAATTATAATCTGGTCACCAGATCCCAGCTTTTGGGGGAGTTGTGATCAATAATGAAGGTCTCCTCCCTTCTATAAACGCACTGGGTTGGGAGAAGATTTTTATCTAGGGCCTAAATCAATCAGAGCACACACGAAACTGCTCCATATGCTCCTGACCTGGCCAGCAATTGACTTTATTCCATTGTTCTCTCTAGTCCATTGTTAGGCTCTTCTGTTGGTGAGCACTTGTGGAATGCCTGCTTTACGGATAGCATCTGGGCAAGATTTTGGAGCTGACATATGAAAATGCTGTATGTGTCTTGGGAACTTTCGGGGAGAGAAGAGTGAAAATACATTCAAAATTATTATAACACTGAAATGACTAAAGGCTGCTAATAAAGGCACAGATTAAGAATGAGGAAATGATGATGACATAGAAAAAAAACCTCTTTTAAGATTTATTTACGTGTGTTGAGTGTTTTGCCTGCATGTATGTCTATGTACCATGTATGTGCCTGGTGCAGCAGGGGTCAGAGGGTGATGGAGATCTTGGGACTAGAATTACAGGTGGTTGAAAGCTGCTGTGTGTGGGAAATGAACCAAGGTCCTTCTGCAAGAAGAAATGTTCTTAACCACTCAGACATCTCTCCAACCTAAAAGAGAAAGCTTAAAAACACCTCTCACAGGAGGAAATAGTATTAGAACAATGAGGAACGCCCACATTTGGCTTCAGATGTCATGCTACGTTGTTTGCGCTTTAACTTGTAGGAGGTGAAGGATACCTGAGAAATTCCTAATAGGGAAATAATATTATCTTACTTGTGTTTTAAAGCACTTAATTGTGATGGTAGAAAGAAAGGCAAACTTGAGGGTACTCAAGGCAGGAAGGCTAGTTTTATGACTATTGCCATGGTCTGAGTCAAGGAATGACGAGGAGCTGAAGTGATGCGATTAGTTAATACAGGTGGGGTGGAGAGAATCAGGAGAGATGTAGGTGGTAGACCCTGGTGACAAAAGGAATGCAAAGGGTAAAAAGAGGGGAAGAGCAGGGACAGTGCTGGAACTGCTTAAGTCTACAAACTGAGACAGAAAGCCAAGGAGAACGGGGATGACTTGATTTGCAGGAGAGGAAACAGTATCCCGGGGAGATGAGTTGGATCTCATGAGGGGGGTGAGCACAGACACTCTGATCTGGAAGTTACTGAGGAGGTGGTAGTGGCTGAAGTTACAGAAATCGATGTATTTCTGGTGAATTTCATAGATCTAATCTTCAAATAAACCATCATTTAGCTTTAAAGGTATATTATATTACCCCCCAAATGGAGTAGAAACAGGTAGACAAGTATCAGAAAATGAAAATGGAATTATATAACCCCCCTCCCAATGACATCAGGAAGAAATGGTATGGTATTAAAGATAAGGAGAGTTCAAATACTACACATATTCTAAGAATTGGCTGTATTTGTAAATGTAGTGCTTACTAATCTTGGTAAGTCCTAAAATAATATTATATGATCATATATATCTCAGTGTTTATATATTTCTAAGATTTTAAACATAGGCTTTCCCAACATTCATTTGACACTCAATAGATAAGATGCATCATGCAGAGTTTTAGGACTTATATGCCATAAGAACTTACATGACCAAACAATATACAGTCTAGTAGGAAAGATACATAATCATATAAATCTATAGCTCAATAACCATATTTGGGCATATTGTAGACTGGAAGGTCTTCTAATACATTTAAAAAGAACCCGAAATACTACGGTAACATGAAGAACAGAGAGATTTTTTTCTCTTTAGGGAGATAATGATAACTTTGTAGAGAAGATGCAATTGAACTGGTATTATTATATTGATGGATATGATGTTATTAATAATATAATATTTTAGAATTTTTTTAATAGTTCTGACACTGCACTAGGCATTTATGTTAGACAATTTATTCTTTACAAGAAAACAGTCTGTGAAGCCAGTATTATTGTCTAACCTCAACTAGGAACTTTTCCTTATGGGGTAAGTAATGTGCCGCAAATCTCCTAGGCAATTAGTAGGAAAGTAGGGCTTGAAACCCAGAACTATTTGATTTAACAGTGAGCCCATTTGTTTTCTAGGCTCAGTGCTGCACTGACTCTCACAGGCTGTCCAATGTTCTTCAGGAGGCTGGCAGGGAAGGCGAAGGGCTCTAAGGAGAGAGATCAACATTTGCAAAGGCATCTGGTCTTGAAAAGGCAGAGCCCTTCTGAGGACTGAGAAAGACAGGGCAGCACAGAGGGGGAGGACAAGAGGAGGGAATAGGCAACACGCATTGTTTAACAGCTCTGCATGTCATTTCACCCAGTTCCTACAACACTGCTGAGGGAGGCAGGCCACTGTGACCATCAGCATGAAGTTTCAAAATAAACTCCAAGTCCATACCCACTCATTTTTAATCCAAAGCCTAAGTTCTAAAGTCACCATGTTGCATTGCTCATCAGAAAAGCACATCTATATTTTTATCATTATTATACATCAGTTGTATAATAAGAATATGGTTAAAATGTGCCATGGGCTTTGGAATTAGGAAATGACTGCTAATCTTAAATAGAACAGTTTTAGCCAGTAGACAGCAGAGGAATATATAGGTATTGAAAATGAAAGATGATTATTGGTCATCTATTAAAAAATTTGGTTGTGAAGGGAGAAGAGAACTCTTTCATTCAAATTTTACATTGCATATTCACATATTTTCAAAGAATTTGCCTCAGTGAGAAATTAGACTGTATAGAGCATACTAAGCCCATCCCATATAGTTCTAATTGCTCTCTTTTCAGAGGTTAACCTTCCTAAAATCCCCAAGAATGCAGACTGATGTTCATGTAAGCATGATGAAGATACACACTGCCTAATTTTTAGCTAAGAAAAGAAATAGAATATGTAAAAGAAATCCTGATAATACTTCAAACAGGTCTTGTTGGAAATCAGAATAAAAGATTTGAGAAGTAATTTCAACATTTAGCTCTTATAAATGTCATGTTGTACTTAAAATGATCCCCAGACTGGTAGCATTCCATTAAATGTGTAAAATAAAGATGACATAACTTTGTCCATAAAACTACCAATTTTAATATATTATCTGAGAATGATGATCTTTCTACTTTCTGGCATTCAAAAAAATCTTTGTTTTAAAACATGTTAGCTGGTGAGATTTTTTTAAATTGATATTTCCAACATTTTTTGAAACCTAACTGATCTCAAGGAACCATTGTTTTAGGGAATTTTAGTCATGTAGCAGTAAAGTGCTTATACATTAAAAAACTTTTAAATTTATAATTCTTTGTACACTGTACAAACAGAAGTAAATTATATCATAACATTCAAGCTATTGATTGTGATTTACAATAAAATATATAATATACATATATATTACCCATCTATATATCACAACATTCTTAGCTTGTTAATGCACATTGAGAATAACTAGATATATAGTGTCTGACTGACTTTGAATCTAATCTTTAAACAGATAATGCACAGGACTTAATCAAAAGCTTCAAGATCCACTGGTAGTAAAGATTAAAGTGTACAGTCCCCAAACCATTCCAAAATGGCTTTGTCCAGAGTCAACCGAGTTTGGGTTATCAATTTAAATATAGTTACAGAGATGCTGGAGAAATGGTTGAGATGATTTATTTCAACTAGGAAGTAAAAGGAAGTAACAATCCTTGTGCATATGACTTAATATTGAAAACAAACAAGATGAGGGGAAAAAAAACTGTGTTGGTAACTAGAAGTGATTAAATTTGTGAATTATGATGTGATGTTGTTCACCATACGAAAGGATGGGTTGACAATCCCTAGTCCATAAACCTTCCTCAGAAAACGCTGTTCCAATACTCAAGTTCCATAAATTAATAACGGACGTCTTTGCTTGGGAAAGTGTTAACATTCTGTGCACTGTTATAAGGACTGGTTGATTATGCAGGTTTGTTTAAATTTTAATAAAAATGCAAAGAACTGTCAAAATAAACAAATATAATTATGCACGCTGAAGGCTGCACCGAATACTTCTAAAGAACAACACAAGAAAATTAATTTCTCTGTACTGGGTTCAGTGCAGCTAGAGGCCTAAGCGAACAAGGTCCCAGAAGAGCTCAACTCCAGGAACATGACAGGGAAGCTCAGTGAGTGCAGCTGGTGGCAATATGACTGTCTCTGCAAATAACAACTCAATGTGGAGTGGGCGATGATTCAGTCTCCATGCGTTGATCAAGGTCATTTATCATATACAATTTATTCCAAATATTATGGTAACATTAAGTCCCAAGAAAATAGTTTTTTTTGATATCAAAAAGAATGTGATATGTAACCTAAAAGCTCATTTTGTTTCCTTTTCCCTAAAGTATCAGTATTATGAACAAAAACTAGGTATTGTTTAGTTTCCAATGGAAAGTTGTTTTCCTTTGTTTTTGTTTTAAATGTTGCATGCTTTTATTCACTTACTTCTGAACTTTTTCATTGGCTGCTTGGGAGACCTCTACAGCACACTGAAGCTGTAATTCCATGTTGGCTTGCTGAGTCAGAGCCTGCTCAAGTTGGGTGGCCAGTTCTTCGTTCTGCTGCTGAGTGATGGAAACAACGCTCTCTCTGTTTTTTAAGGCTTCTTCATAGGTACTAAGGGCATGGTTAAACTGTTCCTTCAAGTTTTCTTCTTGAGATAATGATTTGTGTAAACTGAGAAAATACAAAAATACAAATATAAATATGTAGGCTGACAGTTCAACAATTTTAATAAAAAAAAATCTTCATTTGGAATCCCCACTTCTAAAAATCAATATAGAAATACTTAAATGGGGAATTGTAAATAGGTTTTTTAATAACATATTATTATAATTGATCATTGTTCTGTAACTCTGCTACTAGGCCAAAAGCTAGGCAGACAACTGATTATCTGTGCTATCAAAGCACACAGAAAGATGCTGTAAAATGTTAATTTAATTATGTCAGTGTAAATATTACATTCAATTTTCTTTTAAAGGAATAGCACAGAATTAGAAAATAAAGTATCTCTAGGTAAATAAAAAGTATAATAAGCTGACAGCAAAGACGTGAGAAGAGAATGGACCCCAGTTTGGGAGATCCAGGGCCTATCGGAGCACTTAATGAGAATGAATGAGGTTTGTGCAAATACCCATCAGCCTTATACAGATGCACAGTGGAAATATGAATGAAGGTAAAATCACCAGTCAGATGACATGTATTCAGATATATGTTTTTATGGTTAATGAATCTTGTGATAAATACATCTACTCATTAAGTGATATGGAGAAAGAGCATATAAATTAAGACTAAATGAATGCAGAAGAAAATGCAGACAAATAGAATCCTAAAATGCTAAAGGTCAGATCTTTGATATGTCATTACACCCACCACCTGAGGTTATTTTGAAATGGCACCAAGCACCTCACTCAATTAAATAAAGACATTTTGAAAATATAAATATTTAATAAGGGAAATTTAAAATCCACATAGGAGATGTTCTTTTTTTATTAAATAAAATCATTCCAGTATATGCATGCAAAGGAAATGTCGACTGAAGTGTTGGAAGTACAACCACTGAGCTATATGACACAAATTGATAATATGAATGAAAGCAATATAATTCTTAAAGCTGCAAAAAGCTAGACAGAGAACTTCAGTACTGGCCTAACGCTGGTCTGACACTTCATCTAAAATTGTTCAGATGAAGTGATTATAAATTTCTTCTTTTCAAGTTACAGATAAGCCTTTATAGTCTCCTCACTGTGGGGTAGGTATCACGTAGAAACAAAGACAGTTGACATATCAAAAGAAATCATTTCAGGATTTAAATTAATCCCTTACAGTAGAGACTGTTGCTAAACTCTGGTCAATTGGTTATCCCGAGTAAAATTAGAGTGATGTGCAGATGGCTATGTGATTGGACTCTTTACATCCTAGCTCAAAAAGGCTCCTCATTCAAATTGCCTCACAAACACCCAGCTTCCATCAATGTTGTTAAGCAGAAGCAGTAGCTACAGTTCTCTTTTAAAAGTTACATCACTAATATCCTGCAAAGGCATCTCATGCGTTCTGAAATAAAAAAAAAAAATCTCTAAAAATAACCAATTGTGTATCTTAACTCCCTAAACCTGCAAACAACCTTTGTGAATCATCGCCTTTACTGTCTCTGTTTTGTGAGTGAAGACACTGAAACAAAGAGAGGCAGGTAATTTAATCAGTCTCATCCCCCTAGCAGAATCGACATTTGAACCCCAGTCTCCCCTCACTCCCAAGCCTCACTCCGCTGTGCTTGCACATCACAGAGATCTCATTTCTACTTCAAACTTCAGCCAGTTTCTCCAACAGGAAGCTTTGCCTGCCCAGGGCAATTGCTGGCACAGCTTTCCCTCTGTGCAGCTCCTACTCAGCAGGGAAGTTTCAGTCTAAATACTGCTTCCTCTGACAGTCTAATGAGACTTTTCACACTGAATGGTTCTTATTTGTTAGTTCGTTGACAGTTTCATTCAAGTACATAACATAGTCTGATGGCTCTCTCCCACACCTCCTCTGATTTTCATCCTACCTGTATCAACCTCAATTTCCACCTTATTTTGTAGTTTACTTTTCACTGACAATATACTAATATTCCATTATTAATTGTATGGTCAAGTTTAGGTAAACGTTAATTTTTTTGGGGGGAGGGTTTCAAGACAGAGTTTCTCTGTGTAGTTTTGGTTCTTGTCCTGGATCTTGCTCTGTAGACCAGGCTGGCCTCAAACTCACAGAGATCCACTTGGCTCTGTATCCCGAGTGCTGGGATTAAAGGCATGCGCCTCCACCGCCCAGCAGTAAATGTTAATTTTAAGGTCTACTTTATTTTATGAGAAGTATATATTCATTAAGAACTTAAAAAATTAAATGTTTATTCTTCTAAGGAATTTTCCTATATGAACCCAAAGTAGGGAGAGCAAAAAGTAAAGTAAGGAAACAATATTCTCAGCATATGGATGTTTATAAACATCTTAGTGCTCTTTTTGTCTCATAGTGCTCTACCCTACATGGACATCAGGACCCCACTGTCTGGCTTTCTTCAAGCAATCCTGTTGAATATAACCTCCTTCAAAAGTTATTTATTTTCAGATGCATTTTTCAGCATAGCAGAAGCATTACAACTTAATAACCTTTAAATAGCATAGAAATAAACTGAGTTATAGTGAGAAGAAATGACAGACAAGCAGAAGAGTCATTGAATCACTCACAGATATTCAAAGCATGTGACCAATGTCACACAAGATTGTAACTTTTCCTGCTTTCTATGATGGCAATGAAATACAATAAATAAACTTTCAAGTCATGTTTCAGTTTTGAAATTATATAAGCTTAATGATTTAATGTTCTCAAGTATAGAAAATGAGACTTTAAAACATTACTAAGTGGGAGAGCTGGTCCTGAGGTCAGAGGAGTTGGGGAGCTGCCCCTGCCCGCCACCGCCATCAGCTGCCACACTGGGGAGAGCAGGTCCTGTATCTCATTTGGGCAGCACAATACAGCCAATCCTGTTGGCAGACATGTGGATGAGCCAGCCCCGAAGTTGTGAGTATGGGAGAGCTGTCCCCATTACATCTGTCATGTGCCAGCACAGGTAAGGGAGACATACCTTCCCGCCCCTGTCCCTCAATGCCTGAGGCAGGTGGGAGAGCTGGCCCTGAGGTCAGAAGGGTAGAAGAGCTGCCCCTGCCGGCCACCAGCTGTAACACTCAGGAGAGCAGGCCCTGCACCCACCTGGGCAGCCCAATATAGCCAATCCTGTTGGTGGAGGTGGAGGTGAGCCAGCCTGCAATTGCAAGCATGGGAGAACTGTCCCTGTTACTCATCTTTATGTGGCAGTGTGGGTGGGGATGGTGGTGGTGGTGGGGCTGCCCCCTCTGCCCATCAACACCTGAGGCAGGTGGGAAAGCTGGCCATGCCTTCCACCAGCTACCACACTTAGGAGAGAAGGCCCTGTACCTCAGGTGGGCAGCACAATAGAGCCAACCCTATTGGTGGTGTGGGGAGCCAGCCCACACCACCAATAGGGTTACTGTGAGCATGGAAGAGCTGTCCCCATTACTCACCTTTCATGTGGCTGCATGGGCAGGAGAGAGATGCTGTCCCTTCCTCCCTTCCCATCAATGTCTGAGGCAGGTGGGAGAGCTGGCCTTGAGGTCGTAAGAGCAGGAGAACAGTCCCTGCCCATCTGCTGCAGCACTCAGGAGAGTGGCCCCTATACCATGCCTGCGCAACACAATAGAGCTAACCCGGAAGGTGTAGGTGTAGGAGATTCAACCCCGAGGAAGTGAAAGCAGAACTGGCCCCACCCCTTGCTCATTGCTGCAAAACGTGTAACTTGTCAAGGCAATGCAGGAGAGTTCATCCTGGTGGCGAGGACAAAGGAGAGCTGGTGGGCAGACCAACCCTGCCACTACCCAGGCCCAGAAACCAAGGTTAAGGGTCAGCCCACCCCAATATCCACCCCATCTGTGATCTGCTGGAGCACAAGAAGGGACTGGTCCTGCAGATCCAAAGCTGCAGGATCTCTACAACCCAGGGCAACAGCAGGATATCCAAGAGGAGACCTAGTGAGGGCCCAGCATCCATAGTGTCATAGAAACCAGAAGCCTGGAACCAGACCAATGACTCTTTGCAGTGAACACTTGCAAGTAAAGACTTATGGACCAAAGAGTTTACTTCAGGACTCACTGTGTCACACTGCCGCTTCCATGACAAGATTCCCCTCCCCACTTTTTTTCTCTTAAATTTTATTTGGGGTGGGGGGTGGGCTGCAAGGGCAGAGGAGTGGAAACAGAGGGACAGGAAATGAATGGGACCAAGATGCGTGATGTGAAAGACACTAAGAATAAATTAAAAAAAAAGTCTAAAAAATTACTAACTGTAATAGTTAATCTCAACTGTCAACTTCTCAAGATTTAGAATTATGTAGAAGACAAATTTCTGGACTTGTCTGCAGAGGTGTTTCCAGGAAAATTTAACTGAAGTTGATCATCTTGAATGTGGGGAATGTGGGCAGCCATACTATACCCGTGCCCTCCTACCTGGCTTCTCTCAGCAATGAGGAGAGTAAATAGTACTATTTCACATTACCAAATTTTAATTCATAAGGCTTTGAAATATCTCCCAATTACTACATTAAATACAGCGGAGGATCAAGACAGAAAAAGTCACTCAGTGGGCACTTCTCTAATAAGTGGCATGCAAAAGACTTTTTTTTTTTTTTGACGCAGAAGTTTGCTGTGTTTTAGGCTAGCCTAGAATTTGCTATACAGTCCAGGTTGTCTGTGAACTTGCAGTTCTCTCAGGCCTGGGTTTATCGTTATGTGCTACAATGCCTTGTTGGAAAACCCCGCCCCTAAGCCCACCTTCAGTGACCTAGCAGCAGCAGGCCCTGTCATCATCATTCGACAAAATGCGACACATTTCCACTGTCACCACGAGTTGCATATTCTTACTATATGCTCACGCTACCCTTATGAAAAGCCAGAGCCTCTCCACTATTGCTAGGAGTCTTAGTTGGGGTCATCCTTGTGGATTCCTGGGAGTTTCCTTGGCATTGGCACCAGGTTTCTCCCTAACCTCATAATGGCTCCATCAAGATTATCTCTTTTGTTGCTCTCCCTCTCTGTCTTTCCCCCAACTTGACCATCCCAATCCCTCAT